TAGTACGTCTCTCTCTCTCTCTCTCTCTCTCTCTCTCTCTCTCTCTCTCCACAACCCCCTGTGTTTTGATTGGTTCTCTGGGAAATTCCAGCTTTAATGATCCCCAGCGGCAATTTATCCCTTGACCTATGGGACAACAGAGGGGATAGAGGGGTCCAAGAGAGCCAGGGGATAGTTTTCCTAATGGATTTCTGTGAGCCAGGCTGCAGAGCCGAGTGAGAGACAGGGGAACATTTCAGACCCTAAACTCAGGTCCCACCCCAAACTGAACAGAATATGCACAGTCAGTACATAGTCCAAACTTACCCTTTCCTGCTAGTTGAAATTGCAGTAATACAACATAAAGCTCAGCCTAAACTTTTTCCCAACACTTGGCTGTTCTTAGGTTTTCCCTGAAGGGACCTCTCTGTCCCAAACCCTAGCTCTCTTTGTCACTCCACCTCCCTTATATCCTAGTGGAGCTAATAAGCCTCTCTTGCCCCAGCAAGTCAGCAGAACTACCAACTGAGCAGCTCGGTGCAGGTTTCTAACTCCTGCTGTGATGAGCCAATAGAGGAGCCCTGACGTTCTGTGACACCCATTATGGGTATATGTCCGTTCTGCTACTACTTCAGCTAGCTCACACCCTAATCCCCATGTAGCTCCCAGAGAAACTTGATTGTTGACCGGGCCTGCCTCATGTCCTGGTTTATCTAACAATTGAAAACCTCAGCCTGCTCATGTCACTGCTGCCTGTTTCCTACTGTTTGCAGGGTTCCACCTGTTCCACCAGGTCATGTGAAAATTGGACCTTTAGTTGTCACGGGTGCTCTGCTGAGACGAGAGGACTCATGATGACACCTGCTGTAGATCTCAGTGTTGGTCAAGGAAGGAGAAACAAATTAGAGGATTCTGTAAGCATCTCACTCATTCCCTAATCCTGATAAAGGGAAAGATGGAGGCAGATGCAGGACTTGAGACATGTGCAGAGATGTGGGAAAGTCATAGCAAGATACTCACCTTCAACACCGTGTGATTCCAAGGTGTCCTTTGAATCTGGAAAACAAAGAATAGGAGTCAGGGGATACCACACAGGAACCAAGCATGTGACTCCAGTCCTTGGCCCCCGTTGGATGACTGTATCTCCTTCCCTTATTGGGCAACACCATTTCCCTTCCTGCATCAGGAATTTTTATCTCTCTGCCCCCACTAGGGCCTTGTCTGCATTAGAAGTTTGGGGCAAAAATTTCCCACCATTGCTAATAGTGGTTCAGTTCTATCAATGTCACCAGAGTCTATAGGATATCTCTACATTGGAGCTGGAAGGTGCAAATTCCGGCTCACAAAGATATACTTGAACTAACTCTGATTGAGCCAGTGCACTAAAAACAGAAGTATGGCTGCAGCAGTGTGAGCAGCTGGAGGGGCTATACATCCAAGTATGAGCCTATCCAAGACCATAGGTACATACTCAGGATGGCTAGCCACTCCTGCCAATCAGTGTTAGCACAGGTATGTCCACCGGTACTGGAATCATATCTCCAGCTCTAGTGTAGACATACACATAGTGTCATTTCAGCTTGCTTGGAGCAAGATGACATAGTGATAAAAATACCAAGATGGGAAGCCTGTCTACATTAGGGCTACTATCAAAAGCGATGCAGTGGTGGTAGAAATAATGGGAAATTTTGCTCAAAATGCCTAGTGTAGACACAGCCTGGATGGCACCATCTCTCCTCCTTCTCCACTGGAAAGATGTGTTCTAACCTTCGATGGTCCCTGCAATCACCCCAGGGGAATTCCCTCTGATTTTACTGGGGGCTCATGGGACCCATACTCTGCTTGCCACTCCAAACCACCCAGGCTCTTCTCTAGTTCTTCACCTATCGCTTTTTCACCCATGGCAAATCCCATCTGCTATTGTCTTAGAAGTGTATTTAAGGGGACAAAGAAGATTTAGGAAAATAAATGTGTTGATTAATTGCTAGATTGTAAACTCTTTGAGGGAAGGGTTGTGGTTTTTTGTTGTTGTTTTTTCCAAAGCACCGTGTGCATTTACATCAGCAAGACACATTTGTTGTCTGATCAGACCCTGCAGACTATTTGTGGGGAAAGGTGCTATTCAGCATGAGTCTGGGTATCCGAGTTTGACCCTAAGTCACTTAGGTTCAGCTTGTGACTCTCAGGCTCATGTTAAATACACCTTACTTAAGTAGTACCATTGACTTCAATGGGTCTGATTTGCAGAGTAAGGTCTTACTCAGCTTGAGCAAGGGCATCAGAATCTGGCCTTTACCTAGCAGCTTCTGAGAGCTAAACGGCCGTTTTGCTGTGTCACATTCACCACAGTGAAGAGAAAGGGGAAACTGATAGATGTCTCATTCACTATGTTCCAAGTGAACTCTACCCCCAAGCAGGCCCCAGTTCCTGTTCTCGGCTATGCAAACAACCTGCCACCAGAGGCAGGAGGGGGAAGCTAGCATGGCCGATTTTCTTCTGCCCCATCCCCTTCCCTCTGCCCCTAGAGAAGATGAGCAGTCTTCACATCCACCCCGTGAACCACCACCCCAATCTTTAATCAGAGATCCCCAGGCAGCCTCTTCACTGTCATCCTGCCCCAGTACTCCCCATTCACCTGTCCCCCAGTGCTGCTGCTCATTTGAAGTTCATGTCCTCTAGAGCGCTGTCTGCCACACTGCATTGAATCCCCCAGCTCTTAGCCATAGAGAACCCAGCAGAGCAGCAACCCTCATCAGAGTCTTAGTAATAATGTGATTAATAATAGTTCCAGTGTTTTTCATCTGAGGATCTCCAGGTGATCTCCAAACACTAACTAGTTAATTCTCCCCATGACCTTGTGACTTAGGAAAGCACTATAATCCCCATATTACAGCTGGAAAAACTGAGGCACAGAGCAGTAAGTGATTTGCTTAAGGTAACACAGCAGAAAATAGACACTAGGACATTTGACCCCCAGCCTCCTGTCCTGGACACTGCCAGCAGATGAGGCAGGCAGATTAAGGATTGTAGTAAGGGAGGTAAAAAGTAGCGACCAAGTTGATACCCCCTTCACCTTCTCCTCTGAGGAGAAGGCTGCAGATGAGAGGGAATGGGGAGTCTTTAACTTAATGCTTTTTAACCTTAGAAAGATTCAGTGTGCTTTGGCAAAGGCACTGGCCAGTTCCTGTTTTATCCAAACTGTGCCACCTATGCCAGGAGACAATGGCTCCTTACGAAATGTCAGAGGGCAACATGCTGTCTGCTGTAGAATGGAGCCTTCTGGAAATCTCTAGGCTTGAGGAGCCAATCTGCATTTTGCACTCCACATGGAAACTGATAAAGGATTAGACCAAGACTAATGAACAGACTGGAATACAATAGCTTTTAGAGCAGACTGACCAGGAATGAAGGAGAGAAGCTCTCTGAGGGGAAAACAATCAAAGATTAAAAACTGTATTGCAAAATATTAACTGATTTCTCACCAATCTGATGCCCATGAGAGTGTATTTAATTTACAGGGTCATCTTTAACACTGAGGAATTTAACGCTGACAAGAACTGGCGTAGTACAGGCAAGTACAGGGCAAGCTTTCTACCCTTCCTGTCTCAGCATCCCTGTCCATTCTGCCAAAGCAGAGAGAGGTTGAACACCTGCTATTTCAGATCTAGATCTCCCACCCCTTTCCAGCTGTGCAGCTCACTCCTCTATGGCTATTTCTTATTTAAGAGGGCTCTGGAGCTGGCCTCCCAGCTGCAGTTTATATCCTATGACCATATTTTTTTAACAGTATCACTGCCATTTTTTTCATTGTGCCTTCAAAAACTCTCCCAGTCCAACATATTTCAATGGAATTAAAAGGTGTAGCATTATTTTTCTCCTCAGATGTCTCCGGGTACTGTACAACTTTCCAGTGTTGGCAGATATAACATAGCCTTCCCCACAGTCCATGTAGTTTAGTTAATTCCCCTCAATTCTGACCTGCAGCGCAGTCCATTTGTCCAAAACTGGGCTTTGCTAATTCACCTAAATCCTAAACTGGATTCCTGAGATTGCCAGTCATGCCCATTTGTGCAATAGTTTGTGTCCTAGTGGAGGCAAATGTCTATTAGGGATTAGGCTGGAGACCCCCAAACCCATTCTTATTTGTGACCTATATAATATAACACCTTGCCAGTGCAATAGCCCATACAGGGCCGGTTCCAGGCACCAGCCTGGCAAGCAGGTGCTTGGGACGGCCGCTCCGGACAGGGGAGGCACATCCAGCTATTCGGCGGCAATTCGGCGGATGGTCCCTCACTCCCGCTCGGAGCGAAGGACCTCCCGCCGAATTGCCACCGCAGATCACGATCGCGGTCTTTTTTTTTTTTTTGGCTGCTTGGGGCGGCCAAAATCCTGGAGCCAGCCCCGAGCCCATAGTATACTGCCTAGCCTCAAAGCAGGTCTTCTCCTGAGCAAGCAGTCTTCTCAGATTTTAAGTGTTCAATAATACACTCAGTGAACACTCCAGGTGAGATTAATGCTGTGTCCCCTTACCTCTTTCACAATAGCAGAAGGCTGCCAGGGCCAGGGTCAGGAGTAGCAGCACCAGAAGTTTCCTCATCTCCTCCTTTTTGTCTAATGCAATTTTGCAGCCTCAGAGCTTCTCTAGGAGGGTTCTGGGGCTTGCCTCCCAGCTGCACTTTATATCCTGTGACCATCTGGAGAGATCAGGACTCTGGCCAGAGTCTCTCAAACTTTGACATTCCTGTGTCCCGGCTCCAACACAAAGCTTCGCATTTAGGCCAATAGATATCCGGTCCTGGCAGCCATGTGCACATCCATCTCAGTCCAAAGGCTCATGGCACTTCCAGATGACTTCATGGAGCTCCAAATGCTACTTTTAAAGGGGGGAAAAAAAAAAAAAGAACTTAATTACAAACATAGTTTAGTGTTGAGTGAGAAAGTGATTCCAGCTGCATGGAGGAGAGACAATGGGAGAGAACCATCATGTCATGATGTGGTGCAGCCAATGAAGGCGGTTTCATATGACCCATTTTTGCTAATGAAACAATCTTACACCTCTGACAATCTGAGTTTAATCAAATCCTGCCTCGGCTCAAATAAGATGATCTCAGTCTAGTATCTGGCATGCTGAGGTGCCCACAGAGGCAGTTTTCTTTCTTCGAGAGAAGTGAAAAATGGTAAAACTGGATATGGCAAGCTCGGCACATTGGCTTGCATGGAAGGAACTCACCACATCACTCTTCACCTAGTCCTCTGACCCGCTCAGGAACTCCTTCCGGACCAAATCATATGGAAGGATCCACTGTGCAATGCTGGGCAAGGGGGAGCTAAGCAGAGAAGACAGAAGGGGGAAATGAAGGTTAGTAATCTGAGCTGTTCCAATCTCAAAACTAAGCAGCACTGTGCCCAGTTGTTTCAGGATATGGTCTTGGTGACACATTAGGGGATTGCTTTCATCCAAATCAAGATTGATTTGAACTAATGCTCCAGAATGAAGCTAGGGGCACATTGCTGCAGGAGGTGGCATCATTCAGATAAGGTATAAAACCAAAGCTAAATTTCTGGGGTCAGACAGTGCAGCTAGGCCTATATATACCACTTGAATATCCCACAATGCTTTTTGAAAGAGAATTAGCCCCAGTATCCTTGCCAAATTGCAATTTGGGCAGTTACATTCTGTCTGCCTAAATTCCCCCTGTAGTGTCAAGTAGATACGAAATTTGATAGTTCCTGTCCCAAGATGTTGTTTGTACACTATTAAATGCCTGCCAAAGAGACCGCTGCATGGCAAGGGGAAGAGGAAGTGATCCCTCCAGAGCCCAGTTTTCAAAAATGGGCACTTCACTCTGTGTTTGGTGATTTTAGACGCCCCAAAGCATGCGTATGCATAGAAAATGGGGAGGATGTGGCAGCAACAGGGGGCAGAAGGAACAGTGAGTTGAAGATTAGGAAGAAGGAACAAGGGGCAACTACATAGGTTTGGGCTGAAACCCAGTAGGATAAAAAAAGAGATGCACAGCATTGAAGGATGAAAGGGAAATGCACAAACGATGAGGTAATATCTTTTATTAGACCAACAGAATCCGGTATCCTGGGTTATCTAATATCCTGGGACTGACACAGCTACAACAATACTTCATATGAAAGATGACCCTGTAAGACAAGGCGGTGAGGTAATTGGACCAACTTCCAGGAAAAGATATTACCTCACCCACCTTGTCTCTCTAACGTCCTGGGGCTGACATGGCTACAACACTGCAAATGACCCTGTAAGAGTCAGAAGAGTATCTAAGATGGAGTCCTGCCCCTCTAGGGAGTCTAGGTGAAACAAAAATGCTTTCAAGAGGGGTCTGGAGCTCTGGGTAGAATGACAGTTGGGTGGTCAGCTGAGCTTGGGCTGAGGTAGAGAAAGGTACTGAATGTAAGGGAGGGAAAGAAGGAGAAGGAGAAACAAAGAGAGATGAAGAAAAACAGAAGAAAGACTGAGAAACAGGTGAAGGACAGAAGCAGAAGTGATTTCACTGGAGTAGAGGAAGGCATAAGACAGGAAATAGAGTGCACAGATTTAGTTTAAGGATAGTAGTTAAATAAAACACAGAGGAGGAGAGAAGATGGAAATCTGCCTATAGGATAAACCCTGTGATTTATTGAGGTTAAATTAAGATTAAAGTTAAGTAAGGAGAATTCTAGGCCGTACAGTAATACAAATAAATAATAATAATAACCATTATTTCCTGGAAACACAGCAGCAGCCACCCATCAGCAATGAAAACTGCCATCTGGTTTCATCAGGCAGCACTGGATATGTTCAGTTTGCTTTGGGAGGTTTTTAACATTCATTCCCCTGAACTTTGGGATTTTGGACCCTCTTGTGGTAGAGAACGGCACTGTATATTATCTTGGCAGCAGAAGGTGTGTTCAGGACCAGAGGCAAAAAAGAACAAACCAGTTTTGAATTCCTCTGGGCATAAGCTGCATGGCGACATCAAATCCCAGGGCTCCCTGCAGCAAATCTAGAGGTAAGAGGATATTAACTAGTTCCTAGAAACTGACTCTGTTAGTGCTGTCAGTTGTAAATAATGGTTGTTAAGCTTTATGGAGATGGAGTCTTGTCTGGTCCTGGCCTCTCCCACCCTTAGTTAATTTTTCCGTGTGTGTTAATGGTGGGATTGGCATACATCTCTATCATTCCCCTAGCTCTTACTGCACTATCCAAGGGTCCATTATATATCTGTGTGTGTATGTGTGCTATACAGCTAGCTCTCTGTGTATGGGTATGAGAAAGTACAGTGCATATGTGTGGAAAACATTTATTAAATCTTAACTCTGCCAAATCAAATGTGATTTTCACAAGACCAATCAAAGACACATCTGCAACGTAGGGGCCATGTTTCTGCCAAATGTTAAGATTCCATCAGCTCTGAAGCTGTTCAAAGAAAGGGCATAACATTTTTCTTAGCAGAATAACTGCAGTTTTCACCCTTTCATACTTGAAAATGGCTCACTTGATTTGGAAGGACTGTTAGAAAAAATGCATTCCTTGACTGAGAGCAAACATATCAAATTTCAGCTGAAAATAAAAAAGCATTGAAAAAACAACGGAAAAATGTCCTTTAAAATGGAAACCCTTAGGCAGCCTTAAGTATAGATCTTGCTATGATTCCTATCTATAATATCTATGTGTGTAAGTGTTTAATAATAGATTTACTTGGAGAGCATTATTCAGCCACTAGATTCCTCTGGACTCTGTACAGATTTTCAGAAAGCATATGCTTCCTGGTAAATAAAGGAGACATAGTTGAAACTCAAGCTGTGTGGAAGTCTGCTTATTTGTGTCTATATTTATTTAGTTTAATAAGTGCTTCCAGCTTAAGATGGAATGCGATCCCATGTATCGTGGCAATGTTTATGTATGGAATACATGAAGATGAGGGGTGCTATAAAGGATTTAAAACATGAGTTTTAGATGGCTGCATTGCTCATAATTGGTGCAGCCATGAGTAAATTATGCAGGTGCTCTCAAATGCGCACTGCTAAAACCTTTATATCATACCACATTATGCTTTATTCTCTACATGCCATGTATTGTACATGGGAAAAAAGATTTTACAAACATATCAGAACTCTTTTTTTATTGCATTGTGACTGTTTCTTATATCTCTACACATGTAACTCTATGTGCCTTAATTGGCATTTGTTCATCTGTTCAGAGCTCAAACATAAAAATGTTACAACTTTAAGATCTGATATCTTGGGATTTTCACGATCTATAAGTAAATTCTGCTTTGAGCCCCATTGGAAAGTTGGGAATTTCTCCTTTCAAGTTGTGAAGCGAACCCATTTCTAAGCTTGCTGCATAATGAGATCAGACCAAATATTGCCTGTCCTACAGTCTCAAACTTGGGTAAATTTGTGATCAGGGTGTTTTTAAGCATCTGTTTAGAATGTTAGAATCAGTCTCAGAGGACATGGACTATCTGGCAGAATTCAGATGAGGGTCAATAAAACCTCAGCAACGTGCACTCCCCCTTCCCTCCCACAGATGTTACCAGAACTCCCTATGGGCTCATTTCAATGCTTCCCATTTAAAAAAAATAAAATCTACTATTAAATTTTTTCAACTTCTAAAAACCTGTTTCACCTTTTGAAAATAGCTCACTTTCCCCAGGCTGCACTGCTGACTTGGCTGGAAGTCCTCCTGAGTAATGTAAATGAGAGAAGAACTAACCCAAGAAGATTAAACTAAACTGGGCCAGATTCTCAACTGATATAAATCAATTTTAGTTGATAAAGTTTGGCTGTGTCACTTCCCACCAGCTGGGAATCTGGCTGTCTCTAGGATGTTTGCTTTCTGTATGATTTTGTATGTACTTGTGGTTGATAGATGTGGTTTATATTTCTTTTGTTTGTTTCCCTGACTGCTTGAACCAGATAGTGAGAAGATTTGTTCCTTCCTTCTCTGCACATTTTCCCCTATATTATTTCCATGCTTTTGTGTGAGTTAGTAAGTTTAAGGAAACAATAGACCATTGATTAAGGCACAAAAGGCTCCTGAATTCTCAAAACAACTTTCTGCAGCTTTAAAATAACCACTCTTTGTCAGGGCCAGTGATCATCTGTTGTTTACAACACACAATTCAGCATTTCTGATGCTAAGTATATAGTGATGTGCTCCCTGCAGTTTAGTGAGGCAGATTCTGCTTGCCCAGGGTTAAGTCTTTATTTTGGAGCTGTGGTAGAGTCTCCAAAGATAAGATTGAAGCCTGATTATGAACTTGACACTGTCCTGCTGAAATAAACCAACCAACCCATCTGAAATGCTTCCTGTGTGAAGTGATTGCAGAACAGACTTTTGTTGGTGAACGTGTAAGGCAATTTATACAAGGCACTGTGGAGTGATGAATGTTTTAAAGAAATTAGATATTTTTTTGCTTCCTGGGAAGTTTCCTAATTTGTATTTATTTATTTATTTTGCTTGTCATATCTCAAAAAGACTTGAACTATAGATTCTACATTCATTTCATCCTGTTGGGCTCAATAACTATTAGTTCCTTTGGCTAGTTTAGAAGAGTTAAGAATTTAGGGTCAGTTGGTGACTGAGCAGAGGTGAAAATAAGCCAGTACACCCCGGTATGCCTCTTGGCCACTGCTGCCACCCAGGGCCCTTTAAACTGCTGCCGGAGCCCCTCAGCTACCGCTGCTACCCCAGGGCTCTGGCAGCAGGGCTCTGGGGGGTTATTTAAAGGGTCCGGGGCTCTCCTGCCTCTACCCCCCCGGGCCCTTTAAATAGCCGCTGGAGCCTGCCAGAG